GGACAGCATTTCTTCTTGTCAAATTTTCTTTTTAAAACAAAGGTCTTGCAACTAATCTGGTAGCCAACAAATAGAGCACTGAACACACACCAAGCACATGAGTCTTTAGCTGGGTATTTGTTGCATCTCACAGCTCAGCCCTTTAAATATACATACATAGATTACTTTGAAAACAATAAATGGGGAATGCTTGACATTCTCAGACAAATGAAATGACTCATTTCTCTCTCATCTAATTTTTTTTCTAATTTAAAATTAATTTGCTGTGAAATACCTACATTCTACCAAATACAATTGCCCTCATATTATTAGAGAAGTCATAAAAGTGTTTCTCATATTGCACACAACGGTCAGTAGTTTGGTGGGAATGTTTGAATCTGCAATCATTATATATACCTGTGTATGTGTGTGTATCATAGCCAGGGAGCCAAAAAAAAAAAGGTCTCCAGTTTTAATTTTTGTTAATGGAATGGCTGACTATGCCAACAAAATAAAGTGCTTCTCATCTCTGCCTGCCCTCCCTTTGGACTTAACATCTGCTAAACTCTTCTATGAACTTTTCCAATACAATTACAAGCAAGTAAATTATTGGGGAAGAAGGAAAAGATTTTTAAATCTTTTGGATCCAAATTTGGTTGAAATTCATGGATCTCACCCTGAAACTATTATTTACTGGGTTCATGGAGCTTTTCAAAGACTATTACTCCTCTTTCTCAACAAATCTACAAGGTAGTTGTTATTTCTAGTTCACAAAAGAGGAAACCAAGGCCTAAAGAAGGTAGGAGGCAGCTTTCTGGGGTCTCACACTGAGTAAGGAACTCTATGGGGGATTATTATCCTTGTTCTTTCAAATCTACCATGCCATTTCTCCAGGATTAGAGATAAGGTATAGAAAGACAATAGACAGCCATTAACTATTGATTTCAAATTATGCCATCTAAATTCCACAAATGTGAAAACATTTAACTACTGCAATATATTTTATCTACTTTTCAATTGCAATAAATCTGTTCCTCAGAACTTCTTAGCCAAACTGAGTCCCATATCTAAAGAGCCTTAATTAAAATACATAAATTATTAAATCTCCTACTTCACAAATAATTATTTGTATTTCCCACTGTCTACATGCTACGTACACTCATACTTTCTAAGGATTTTTCTTAAGGATTTAAGCATGTCAGAAAGCTAACTTTATTAGGTTAAATATGTATTTTTTATTTCCTATCACCTTTTCCTAAGCATTTGTGAATATAATTTCCTTTCCCAAAATGATGAAAACAATTTTGGCCTTTTCATCCTTTAAACCCAGCTTCCTTTCATTTCCCCCTCCTCACTTTTCTAGATAATTCCCTAGGTCTGTAGATTTTCCTCCCTTATTTTCCATCCTTCCAGTTGTTACTTTTCTTCCTGCCATTCTGGTCTCTTTAGCTTCTGAGATTTTTCAAAGCCACCTGCAATGTTGTAAACAACCAACAGTTCTCTGACAAGAAACCTGGGGAAGTCTTGCCCGTGAGTTGGTCTACTGGCATACCTTCACTGATGACAGGCTGACATTAGCAAAACCCAGCACTGATGTCAAAGTGATAAGGCAACTAAACAACTCTCATTTACAAAAATAAAATATAAATAAATTAATTATTAAATTCACACTTGATGTGAAAATTCCCAGCTGTTTCTCCATGTGTTCCCAAGTATTAAATTATTTTAAAATAATTAATGCAATTAATGATTTTTATGTCTTAAATMCAGTCATTAGAGTTATTTTATTATTATATCTGTAGTCCACAGATTTACAGTGAACCAAACCACCAAAGTGGATGATAAAGAAAACTCTCTAGACATCAGAAAGACCAATGGCATTCTTATGTTTTCCTTCAACAGATTCCTTAAAAGAAAGACTAAGTCAAAGAAGTTCCATGAGGTCAAAGACCAGTTATGTTTGTTCGGTGTTTGTATTGCCAGTGCCCTCCACAACACTTACCACGGAGCAAATCTTCAAATATTTTTGAATAATTAGATGAATTAAGCTGCTAAAAAAAAGTAATCTGCTTCCTTCCAAAGTTTTAAGATTCACAACATATGCCCTATTTTTCTCTCATATGCCATGATCACTGTTTATCCAAGGGATGATAATACAATATATATGTTTGTAAAACCTCATATTAGGGAGGAAACCTTAGTATAACACTGTATAGTTGAAAAGGACCCTAGAGAGTTAAAGCAATGAGCTCAGAGAGATAAAAATATTTCATTGCTCAAGGTAAAATTACAACCAGGTCTCTTGAATTCTGGAACTTTTTTCAATTTCACCAACTCAACTTACTTAAATTATTTAAATAATATAAAGTATTTTAATTTTTATAACCAATATCAATAACAACTAAAATATAAGAATTGAAAGTTGGAATATTCCATGGATGAAATAACTAGTGTAATTATTTGGCAATGTCCAACTATTTGTTAAATTCATTTTCATTCTTCCATTTTTAATAAAGAGCAATTTCCAAGTGATTGATAGATTTCACYATAGTTCTACTGGTAAACAGGAGCTCTGATACCAACAATTTCTCCTAAAGCATATTGTGATAGAATGCAAGAAAGCCCACAGTATTAAAAAAACAACAAGAAATTCCTAACTATACATGCCCTGGCTATTCTAGAGGAGTTTTACAAGTTGTTCACCCCTAATAAGAGAGGATATTCAGGGCATATTTTATCACTCCAAGTGCTTGCTCTCAGAGAAGTTTTGAATCCTGACAATGTAAGAAAATAGATCTACTAGAACTTTTTGAGGCAAAATCCTGATTGCCAAATAAAAGAAACTGGGTAAGACCACACAGAAATAAGTCACTGCTTTGAAATATAACCTGTTTTCTTTGTGTCACTAAAGTGTACTGGTGATGTGCTTGGCCAACAAGAATTTCTCTACCCATGCCTTGTGGGGTTGAAGATGTTTGCACTATTCACCTGCATCTTCTCATCATCCTCCTAACACACGTTTTTCAAAATAGAAAAGAATTGCACACGGCTTGGAAAGTACATAGAGCTGCTGCACTGTTTGATCAACATTATTATTTCTAAATTTCTTACTCTGGAAATCATTATCTGAGTATACAGCTTTTCATAAAAAAATCATTCATATTTGACTTACAGCAGTAAGTACAATTTATCTACTCCTCATGTAAGTTGAAGAAAATAGTCTTAGATTAAATTGGCATTTCCAGAGACACTGCTGCCACTACATTTTAGAAATTTTTAGATTCTAATTCTTAGACAAAAACAAAACTCCAGGATTCTAAAGGCACTGCCCTGAAAACTAATCATTACCTTTAATAAGATTATTGTATTAAATATGGATCTGTTATATTGAAGAATTATTATACTGTACAAATGTTGCTTTAGGTATGACACAAACCTACAGATACACCCTTACTAAATTCCTCTTATATGGGATTATGTTCAATTTGCAACATGAAATAGTTCCTAAACCTATACTGCCTGAGAAATGTTTATAGGGAAAAGTAACACATAGGAGTTAGCCCATTCTGAACTTTCTTTCTAGGTTATCAATGGAAAAGGTGACAGAAAGTATATTAAAGGGCAAAATACACAAGAGGCAAATGACTGTGAGTAGTTTAAAAAAAAAAAAAGTCACTCTCCATTAGTGCAAGTGCCAAGGGGACACTTCTAAGATTACCTGTACCAGTGCCCTTTTCCTAAGGATCCCAATATTTCTCAAGTCCTTCCTAACATCATTTGCAAGAGTATTTTCAAAAGCAAAACTTTATGGCAAATAAGATCAATGTTCAGATTTATTGTGGAAACTTTGAAGAAGTTAAAGTCCTAGAGGTGGATTGGGGGTGTGTGGGGGGGTGCTATCAGGAGTTAAAGTCCTTGCTTACAATGTCTGGGTGAGGCTTAATGGTGGAGAGAGTTTTCACACTGAATTTCCTTCAGATTCTGTCTGCAATAGAGTGGATTCCTTCAAAAGAGAGTTCACTCAGACAGACTGGATCAGAGGTCTGATATTCCTGCAAACAATAAAGGTCAAGGGTAGCTGAAATGCCGAGCAGGAGTACTATAGAAGGATGCCTAAAACAGGGAATCTGGTGTACACCTGGAACTACTGATACAGACATCCCAAGATTAGTACAAATTTGGAGAGGTTATGAAGGCATTTATTCATTGAACAAATATTTATGAAGGGCCTAACATAAAGAAGGCATGAAAAAATGAGGAAAAAAGACTGAAGAATCCAGGAAAGAGAGTGAAGGATAAGATGAGGGTGCGAGAATTAATAGAGAGGTTTAGAAAACTGTGCACTAAGTTTACCCAAAGAAGATTAAGTCAATAAATGTTCAGTGAATGAGAGAGGAAAAAACAGCTAAGGGTGCAGATGAGAGACTGCAGGTTTCTAGTCAGAAGGCAGCTCAGAAAACTATGAAACAGTTCTTAAGATTTGAGAAAAGGGATGCAATATAAAATGCAGATAGCCTGTGGAATTCAAAGATGTCAGAGAAGGTCACACTAAGACCCAGAGAGTGTGGGAAATAAGGAGAGCAATGGGTTCTCGGCATGGATTGGGGCTCCTTTGGGATGCTGAGAACAGAAATTAAAGACATGGAAATGGAACTGAACAGCCCAGTGCCTGGGAAAGTTTGGGGGAAAGAAAACAGGTGGGTGTGAAGACGCACGGGGGCCATCTGGGAGACAGTGATGAAGTAGGGTCCAGGGCTACAAGTTGTCAGATTCTCTCACACCAAAAGATTTACCAAGAGTGGAGTCTGACTTCTTTCCCATGTCCTAATCCCCTATTCTTCCAGAGCCCAGAGGTTCGGATCCCTCCTGGGGCCGCGGGGAACCCAAAGACCCGAAGGGTGAGACCCGGCCGCCCCCCAGCGGTCGGGCACTGCGCCCAAGACCCTAGTCGCCCGGCTCCAACTTTCCCGATCCCTGTCCTCTCTCCCGAAGCGCTGGCCCCCCTTGCGCCCCCAGCTCACCGAGGGCGCCGTCAGGCGGCTGATGCTCTCGCCCAGAGAGTCCAGGTTGACCCGCCTGCGGCGCTGCGCCCTCTTGGCCCCGGCGGTGGCGGCGGCAGCAGCGGCGGCGGCGGCGGCGGCAGCAGAGGCAGCAGGGGCCGGGGCGGCAGTGGCCGCGGCCGCGCTGGGCTCGGGCGGCCCGGGCGGGCTCCGGCTGCCGTTCCAGCAGAGCTTAGACAGGGGGCACTCCCCCTCCTCCTCCGGGCTGGTCTCCAGGTAGTCGGAGCCCAGGGAGCTGAAGGACTCGGACGAAATCTTCCTTCGAGACATGCTGCTGGCGGTGCTATTGCGGCCGAGGCGGCGGCGGTGGCGGGGACGCGGGCGGAGGCGGCGGTGGCGGGACCGGCGAGCGGCGGCTTTAGGCGCGTCGGGGCCGCGGGGCGCTGCGGTCGCGCTCTGCCGGGTGGGAGTACCCCGGGCAGCCGAGCCCCAGGAGCCAGCTGCTCATGGCGGGAACTTGGGGCGCCGCGGCACCTCGGGGCCCGGGCTTAGCGGCGGCGCCGGGCTGGGCTGGGGGCCGCCGCCGCCTCTGCTGCTGCTCGCGCGGCGCCGCCTGAGCGCCCGCCTCAGCGCATCGCCGTGCGCCGCGCTCCCGCTCGCGGGGAGGCACCGAATGTGTGACCGCTGACGGCGGGCGGGGAGGGCTGCGGCCCGTGCGGTCCGGGAGGCAGAGGCTTCTGCCGCCTGCGCGACTATCTCGCCCCTTTCCCCTCTCTCCTCCCGCCCCTCTCCTCCCGCCTCTCTCCACTTACTGCCCGCCTCCCTCCTTCTCCCTTTATCCACCCCCACCCCATGCTCTCCCTCCGCCGGTATCACGTGTCGCCATCATACTCATTGGGAGTCTCTGCCTCGCCTGTCGCCACGTTTCAGGAGCAACGAGGACACTTCGTTGCTGTCCTCTGCGCGCCCTCCTCGTTGTCACAGTCCCCTGCTACGAGGAGGAGCGCACCATGCCGGGGTTCGGACCAAGGGTCCACAACCCAAAATGTCCTATCCCTGGGCCTCGGGAAAGGCAGTTGAGTAGCAGAGGGGCCCGCGGGTGCTCAAGGGGAGAGGGGCGCAGGGTTGGAGGCGGGAGATTTCCCTCTGCGGCCACGTCAGGGAAGTCTGGCGGTGTGAAGCGAGGGTTTAGGGTCCATGTTTGTCTTTTCCCCTCCTTCCTCCGAGTTTATTTAGGAAGTTCCGAGGCGGAAGGGAAAGGCTGAAAGGTCCAGCCCAATCATTCCGGAGTAGACATTTACAGAAGAAGGGGAGGAAAAGGGTAACGTGTTGGCGCCCACCCTGCTGGAGCAGCTAGTGGGGACAGCCTTCTCCTCCTCCTCGGGCGAGGCCGCGTGGGCGCGGAGCGAGACCAGAACCGAGAGGCAGTGAGTAGAACCTCTACTCCGGCAACAGCCCTGTTGCTTTGCCACGGTGCGGAGGGGCGCGCAGGGCTCTGGGCTCCAGCGGGCTCCGCACTAGTGCTGGACAGCTCCGCTTGCCACCTGCAGCCTCATTAGCCCGCGAGGGTAACWGGGTGAGAACACTACCTCCACAGACTACTACCTCGCGCCTAATCCAAAGGACACCAGGGAGGGATCCCGCGTCCCTTATTCTCTGGGCTCTTTGCGCCAAATACTCGATCTGTTTGCACTTGGCTGCAAATGCCTCTCAGAATGCTTAGAAGTGTGGGAAGAAAAGCGTTTCAAACCCCAAGAACAGACTTGCCACAGCGTGATCACATCTTTTACTGTGAGTTTTCAGCGGAGTGGCTTCATTCTAAAGCTCGCTTTATTGCAACCTGTCCTTCCAAAGCCTGATCTCACAGCCCTTGTGTTAGCTCCAGAAGAGCTTTGGACCTGTTCTGACCTTAGGGTAAGGAACAGGAAGAAGGGAGAAATAGCTGTGTCCCAAAAGAGGAGCTCCAGGCTGTTTTCCCATGGTAGCAAAGCAGAAGAGCGCCCTCCCCACCTTCCCCATGCTCGGTGGAGGGGGTAGTTCCAGGTCCCTGGTTTTATTCCCTAGGGACATCAAAGCCAAGGCCTTTTTGTTTTCAAAAACTGGTCCAGGTGAAGGCAGATAGGCTTGTATGTACTGTRTATTTAAAAACAAAATAATGACCACATCCTCATCCCAGTTTGCTTTTAACTCCAAATCTTCCCAATTGTTTATGAGAACCCTAATAGAAATGATATTTGAGGTTTCCTTTTGTACTTTGGTAAATCCACTGGACCTGATTCAGAGACATGCGTTATTCCCATATCCTAAATGGGTGTCTTCACTATCATTCAGATAAGAGAGAGAGGGGATTTTGTTTGTTTCTTTGCTTGTTTTTGTTTTAAATCTACTGAAAAAGTTTCTAATTGTATGCTTTCTCAGCAGAGGAAATGTGGGCCTCTTTTTAAAAATAATAAATTATTATTATTATTAGGATTTTGTGGTTTATCTGTGGTTTATTTCCCCATTGCTTCAATTAATTCTATATGCATTTTTTTCTGCAAAAAGCTAGACACAAACTACATTTCTTATCCTCAAGAATAACCACCAGTGGTGCTGAAAAGGAAGGAAGGAAGGAAGAAAGAGAGAGAGAGAGAGAGAGAGAGAGAGAGAGAGAGAGAGAGAGAGAGAGAGAGAGAGAGAGAGAGAGAGAGAAAGAGAGAAAGAGAGAGAGAGAGAGAGAGAGAAAGAGAAAGAAAGAGAGAGAGAGAGAGAGAGAGAGAGAAAGAGAGAAAGAGAGAAAGAAAGAAAGAAAGAAAGAAAGAAAGAAAGAAAGAAAGAAAGAAAGAGAAAAAGTTTAATTGGCCTTTTCTGAACTACAGTAGATGATACCTTTGCAAAGTACATTCTTGCAACTTTGGGGAAACTAATATTTTTGCTGTTATATCAATAACAGCACAAGGAGCTGGAATGCTTAGTACTCCTCTATAACAATGATGATGCAATTGTTAAGTTCTTTACATAATAGAATTTTAGAGTTATTATTAAAAGCATATGTTTTGCCTTCTTTCCATAATGCTACTGTCTGCCCTTCCCCCCCCACACACACACACAAAAGAAAGGTTCTATTAAGGTAATTATACAAAACCTTCCTACTGAACTTAGAAATGGAACATTTTACTAACCATCCYAACAGTTGTCTCAGACTCAAAATTACTGAGTGCAAGGCAGTAAGTATCATTTGTTTCTAAAATCTGCAAGAGGCCCAAGAGTCTTCCTGTTTACACTGGAAGTTTATTGCCAGAAAGAACTCTTAACCTATGGGACATTTTTTTCTTTGTGTGAACCATTTGAATCAAAGACTCTTAACAGAATATAGCCAGATAAAGCAGTCTTACAATTTTCTGTATGAATTACCCTGCTTTGATCATGATTTTCCCACTGATTTTTAAACTATAAACAAATGAAGGCCTAAATATAGGCAGTACATCATCTGCTTTGCTTTCAAGGGTTTCCTTTGTGTTTCTGTTCAGGAGGAGGGTTCAAAAGCTCTTAATAGGAAGAGTGCTGTGTTCTATATTTAAATTAACATTTTTAAGAGGAAGCATAACCTAGTCTCCATTTTTTAAAAAATGCCTTAGACCTAGTAAACACAGCCTAAGTACTTAAGGCAAAGAGTAGTCCACTAAAAACAAGTAGTCTGTGCTCTGATTTTAGGAAAATAAATTTGCAGAGCTCATGCCCACAAATTTGGCCAATGAATGCACTGTGTTTCAATAAAGTCCTTTAAGTCCAAAATATAATTGAAAAATAAAAATGCATATATATACTTGGTTTATTTGTGAAGTTGGTGTGGACACCTGAGGACTCTTTCAGWTTGATCAAGCACTGAGAAAGACTCCCTAAGAAAGCAGATGTCTCATCGTAGTTAAGATGGTAACTGTGCCTTGCCTTTATACAAAGCCTTGCTATTTATAAACTCCTTTCACTTACATTGCCTCATTTAATTTGATTTTCATCCTTCCCAGAGAAGTAGTTAAAGAAAAATCACCTCTGTCAAATTCAAATAAAAACTACAATCCGTCCTCATTCCCTGAATTCTTTGCATTCAAAGCTCCAGACTCTCCTAATTTCTCTTCATCCATCTAAGTCTCCAGCAAGAAAACCTGCAACATCTGCATAAGCATTCCTTGGAGCACAGTTCATTCCTATTATCAAAATACTGAGGAAATCTCTCCCTATAGTCAGTCTTTACATAAATCTGGCAACTGGCAGGAATTATACATATAACAATAAAACAAGTTCTCCAAAGGAACATAGTAGCTGGTGAATTCTTAACTAGGGCAAGTTTTTCTGTATCCCTAACCTAGAAATACACACACACACACACACACACACACACACACACACACACCCTCACCTTCCAGTTTAACTCTGTGTTCCATGTTACTTGAGAATGAGGTCTGTCTACCTTTTCACTATATCATACTTTATCACACTTTCTCAATGAATGGCTATGAGAAAATAAGTGAAATTAAATACTAAGGATAATATCAAAGTGAGAACAACAATCACCTTATTTGTATATAAAGGGTCATGTGGAAGATACTCTATTCTATCATTGTGTGGTTATAGTTATCATAAAACTATTGTGAAGAGGCAGGGTGCTTACTGCAGAAGAAGAGAAGGAGAAGGACTTGAACATGAGAAAGATGGGGGAGAAGGAAGAGGAGGTAGTAGTTGTGGGAAAAGGGAGAGAAAAATAAAGCAAGCACCATAGTCAATGCTATACTTAGCTGAATTTGTACTAGAAAAATRCTTAAGGCTAGGATAGTGGCCTTGTTTTTACACCACCAGATCCAAGAAAGTTGGCAAGTAATCAGTGTATTTTGATGCCTCTAGCAGACACCTCTCTTTTGTAAGGGGCTTTGCACTGAACCAGGTACTACAGAGTCCATTTTCCTCTTGAAAAGACCCTACAATGCCTGAAATATTAATATCAGCACCACAACCTCTCAGGATTCTCAGCCTTTTTGTCTGCAGACTCAACAATCCTAGCATCATTAGTTCTCTATACACTTGTTTTTGAGTACTAGTGCAGACTATATTGGAAGATCATTTATGTCTTTCTATACATTTTTGTCAATTACAATATTGACCTTATGTATATAATAACCACAATACTTTGTAAATAAGTGATTAGATTATGGCCCACTATGGTCCTTAATTATCTAATTACTTATTTCTACCTGGTATCCATTTCCACACCCTTTTACCTTCCAAATCTACTAAGTAAAGGCAAATTTGTAACAGTGATTACTCCTTGGGGAGTCATCCTTGCAGAGTTAGGTTTGCTTCCCTACCATTGCCCTTCTGCAAGGTAATATGCCCCCTTTGGAAAGATTATGTCCCCTCCCTTTGCCCTACATTCTGAATTCT